AACATTTCATACATTCATTGTCAACTTTGAGCCAGACATTGCATTAAGTATGTGGCGTGGTATAATCCATGGCAGGACATTAGTGTTATTCCCAATGTATAGATGAGAAAATGAAAGTGTAAGCTACTTGGCAAATGTTCATGCAGCCAATAAGCAGCAGAACTAATGTCCTGATCCAGGGAATAGCATTCCAAAACTCATGTGTTTGTGCTAGGACTCCAGACCCAGTGTGATAACTAATGGATGCCTCTCCTTTCTCTGTTATTTTCTCCCTGATGCTGAAATGATGATCACTGTACAATAATTTAAAGGTCAGTGATGGAGAGACCTGGACCCTCCCCATCACCAGGATGACACGCCCTAGTGTGTTCGCCACACTGACTGCACTTTGTCTTGTGAATATACCAACTGGACTATCAGCCTGTCCTGAAGATAGATTGACCCTGCATGGTTGAGCATGGACCAATCCAAGGAAATGAAACAATAAATTGGAAGGAGATACTAAGAGCCTCTACAAATATGAAATATACAGTTACAGTTATATAGCCAGGAGATAGACATCACGCATGTGCAAGGAGAGTCTTCTGAGCCTCGTAAACTACCTACTCTTTGAAACAGGTCACCTCCCCCCTACTTGAGCTGTTCATCTACTTCCCCATACATTGACCCATCCACCTGTCTATTCATCCGTCTATCCAGTCATCATCTCTAGTACATGTCTTTCAGCCCAGCCACAGGTCCATGTGCTCTTGGAGATCTTTATATATATATATTTCTGGCAACAAAGTATCTTTCCACTTACAGTGATTCCTTTACATAGTCTATTTTCCTCTACTTGGAAAAAAAATAACTAAAAAGAAGAGACAATGAGAAAGCTTCGCTCTAACTGCCCATTTTGAAGTTTAAAAAAAAAAATATTTAAGAGGCCAAGAGTGAAGAGATGGTAAAGGTGGCATTTCACTATTGTCAGAAATTTATGTTAAGACTTGAAACAAAGTCCCATGCACTGATTCACTTACCCATCCATTCATCCACTCACCCATCTACCCATCTATCAATCAATTCATCCACCTACCCATGTACTCATCTGCCCATGTATCCACCCATCCATTCCATTCATCTACCTATCTGTTCAACCTTTTTCTTATCTACCTACTTATTTATACATTCATCCATTTACCTACACGTTGATCCATCCACCTAGCCACCCACCTAACCACCCATCCTTCTATCCATTCAGTTTCATTCCCACCTATCCACATATTTACCACACATGCATCTGTCTACCCAATCACTCATCTATCTATCCATTCATGTGTTCATCTATCCATCTGCCTACTCATCTACCTAACATCCACACACCCATCCATCCTTCTACACATCCATCCATCTACCCATCTACACATCTATCTAACCCACCTATCCAGTCATCTACTCCAAATATCCATCCAAACATCCTATCCATCTATCCATTCATCCACCTAACTATTCACCCATGATGTATCTATCTACCCAACCCACCCATTTTCCACTATTGGGAACCTACTATTCATCAAGTACCATTCCAAGAACTAGGGAAATAACACTGAACAACACACAAATGACCCTTACCCTCACCAGTCTTGCCCTTCCATATGGGAGACAAACCAGAAATGGATGAAGATGCTTCCCACCCCAAATGTCACAATGCATTTGAAATCTTCCTAAGACAAAGGTAAATTAGCTCCATTTGCTCATTTGTTGCTAAAACAAGCAAGAATGTCTCATATGGCAAATGTTAATGGTACAAAAATGCACTCCAATGATGCAGAATCATCTGAGGGTAAATATTGCAGTAGTATTTTTATGACAAAAGCTTTATTCCTCATCTTCTCTATCCTTGATTTAAATATATACATGTATGTGAGTGCACATGTATCAAGATTTGAGTATTTCAATATAAATTTTGTATTCAAAATACTTTTCCTGATTTCAGTTGATTGCATATTTCGAGTCAATGTTGCAGTAGTAATTCTTGTTCTGAATCAAAAATAAGATCTCTCTCTTGGTCTCTCTCTCTCTCTCTCTCTCTCTCTCTCTCTCTCTCTTGCTTGATTGCTCCCACCTCCAGTCCCAAGCAGCCCTGATATTCAAGCTACTTTTCAAGCTGACTAGTTCAAAAGGCAAAACCTGTTTCTTCTTATTTATTTTCCTGCTGAAGCTTTGTGGGGGGCTGGGAGTGGGGGTGAGGATGGGGATGGGGCTGGGAGTGGGGGTGAGGATGGGGCTGGGAGTGGGGGTGAGGATGGGGATGGGCTGGGAGTGGGGGTGAGGATGGGGATGGGAGTGGGGGTGAGGATGGAGATGGAGGTGGAAGTGGGGGTGAGGATGGGGCTGGGAGTGGGGGTGAGGATGGGGCTGGGAGTGGGGGTGAGGATGGGGATGAGCTGGGAGTGGGGGTGAGGATGGGGATGGGAGTGGGGGTGAGGATGGGGATGTGGTTGGGAGTAGGGGTGAGGATGGAGATGGAGGTGGAAGTGGGGGTGAGGATGGGGATGGGGGTGGGAGTGGGGGTGAGGATGGGGATGGGCTGGGAGTGGGGGTGAGGTTGGGGCTGGGAGTGGGGGTGAGGATGGGGATGGGAGTGGGGGTGAGGATGGGGATGGGCTGGGATTGGGGGTGAGGATGGGGATGGGCTGGGAGTGGGGGTGAGGATGGGGATGTGGTTGGGAGTAGGGGTGAGGATGGAGATGGGGGTGGAAGTGGGGGTGAGGATGGGGATGGGGGTGGGAGTGGGCTGAGATGCTGGCTCACACCACATCACAACGGCATCCGGGATAGAAGGACAACCCTTCCCACTTCGATTTGAGTGTGTAATTGTTTGAATACATCTCTCCGACACTACAATAATGTCATCCTTGGTTGACACAGATTTTAAAGCCCTTTGAAAAGGTGGAATGTTATCAATCACGAGCATGATTATAATGGGATTTGAGTGAAAGAAGCTAAAGACTCAGGCCCTTGCTGGGGCCTGGCTCTCTGACAGAGGAGAAGGGAAAACGAAGACAGAGGACTGTACTTCCGTCTATGTCCACCATCCACATGTCCCCTCTCCCAGAGCCAAAAATGGATAAGAGGTACCTGAGGCTCCAGAGTCCCCTCTAAAGTACCCTAATACTCACAGGGATTTGCTTGTGTGTCTATCACATGAGATAAATGGGCTCCAATAACGACTGTTTGAATCCCCAAGGACATGTAGAGATTTCTGGATATATCTTGGTTGTTCCTGTGAGGAAAAGGCTAGTGCTCACGGCAGGACAAGACTAGGGATGCTGTGAAGCATCCCACTGTAGGGACAGCTTTCTACAGTGCAGAAGTGTCTAGCTTAACATACTAACAGTGACAAGTCTGAGGAGCCCCGTGGCAGACCCAACAAGGTCTGGTCATTGGCAAACGTGAAGACGGGGCTTGAGAGGAGCATCCTGGGGCATCTTTCTGATGACACCTCCTCTGGCTTTGTCACCTCTGCTGTCCACCAGCAGACTGAAGCAGGTGACAAAAGAGGGGACCAAATGGCAGGAAATAAAAGCAACTTGGAACCAAATCACATATTTTTCTGTCTTTGACCTAAAATATACTTTCTTTACTGAAGTCAGAAGGGACCAGAGACCTGACAATTTATATTGTTCCTTTTCTTCTTCTTCAAGGCAAAGCAACCCAGACCCGATAAAAACAAACGAATCTTCCCAGCAGATCACTGGGACTGTCACACTCTCAACTGACAAATCACAACAGTGCCTACAGACCTGGAATTTGCCCGTCACGTCCAATCACATGCCCTGGATTACTAAGGCAAAGAATTGTGAATTTCATTAAATATGTTAAAGGGGGAAAAATCAGCTTTGAAAAATAGTAATCCTGTCTTTCAACAAAAATATTATAGGAAGCTATGAATTTGGTAGATCCGAATAGGATGTTGGTACATGTTTTACTAAGGTAATATAATGGCACACTATTATTAGATCACATTAATCATTACTGTGCCAACGGCACTGACAGCCCGCTGAAAAGGATTGAAAGGCCTGGTAATGGATATAAATTACCCATTGTGTGATAAAAGGATTTTTACTAAGAAGGTAAGAATAAAACAGCAAATTTCTAATATAACTGTTGTGTAAAAACCAAAATAAAAGTAATCCACGGTCAGTAATATCCACAAAATCAGAAGTAAGCACTTTCCCCAATGAGATAAAGTCACAATAAAAAATACATATATTTAGTACAATATAAAATTAATTTCTGAGTGCATAATCCCACTATCAATTTCCCCTGGTTTATAGAGTGACCTCAGAGATGCATGGCCAGAAGAAGGTAGACTGGACCAATTAAATCTGAGGTGAGTTTACAGATATTCTGGGGCCACCTTAAATGGGGCCAACGAAGGCATCACGTCCCACGATGCTCTTCTATACTATACAAGTCTCGAGGGCTTCTGTGTAGGAAAAACACTCCACTTGTGAGTTTAGAATCGTAGGGCTGACATGGCAGATGTGGCACTGCTCTGGGACAGATGTCCCCCAACTTTGGGCCAGTCCACTGAATCACATGGGACTGTCAGGGAAGTGACAACAGGTGGTTCACTCATGGGGTCGCCTGGCTTCCAGCAGCTCCAGCTCACCAGCTCTAGTCCCAAACTGCCACAGCTCAGATGCCACACAGCAGTGAATGAAGTTGTCCCTTGCTAGGCTCTGCTTAGCTGGTTGCTGTTTGGGTTTCAGGGGTAGGTATGTCTGCTGAGTACATGTTCATCCCACCCAGAAGACCTGAACCCCAGGCCACTTTTCACAGTCCACTGCAATCATCTGAACAGAGGAGAGTTCATGAAAGGATTCTGTCTTAGCATGGAAACTGTGACAAGTCCCTACTCCCGAGAAAAGGCAGCCTGAATTTCCCCAGACTCACAGACAGACACTCCCCCACTTCAACAAACTACAAAACTACAAAGTGATGGTGGTCCTTACCAGGCAAGTCTTAAAGTCAGAGAGTTCCGTCCTGGATGAAGGGTGTTCTTAAAGCCGTGGTGTTCAGGAACTGTAAAAATAAGACCTGTTAGAAATCTGAAATGACCAACACGGTCTTCTAGAAGACACACAAATAGCACTCATCTAAGGGCAACTTGCTGGGCTTTTGGAGAGCCAAAAAACATTTGCTAGCCCCACTGCCCCAATTCTTCTAGTGATTTGCCAAACAGGAGCTTGTGTGACCTTTGCTGTGATGAGTCAAATTTGCTCAGCTTGTTTTCAGTGGGGGAAACGCCACCTGCAGAAGAGGAGGAGGCGGAGCTTCCAGCCATCTCTCCAGATAGGCCAGGAGAAGAAATAGAGCAGAGAAGGCTCTCCCCTCACTCCTCCTTGGCATGCTGACAGCAGGGAGCTTAGGGGGTTCTCCTCACTCCAGTTTATGGTGTTCCCTACAAGAGACTAAAATTCCACCCCAGATTTCAAGTGGGCAAGTCTGCTCGGTGACTGAGGGGTATTTGATGAGTCTTTCAGAGGACTGTGCCCGAGTGCAACTTACGGATGCCATGTTTGGCATCAGTCATCGCTGCTGAATCAAGTCCAGAACAGTGGCCCAGTTAGCTTACTAACTTTCTCACTCTGCGTCACAAATGCATTCAGCCCACCCAAACAATGTCATCTGCCTGAGTGCTCGGTTTGTGAGATGTGGCCCCGCTAGCCAGCTAGGATACTCATCCACAGTGGCTCCACAGCCACTGGCTGGGTGCTCAAGGCAATCTGTGATCACCAGTCCACTCTCCTCTGTTATACACTAACTACCATCTTATGAAAGGCATCATATGGGGCAAGGAAAAGTCCTCTCCAGATAGGATTGTTACACATTCAGTTAAAGCAGAATCTCCCCATGGTTTTGAGGGTACTGATCTGCAAACAAAGATCACAGATAGATGGAGAAAACCAAAAGTGGCAGCTTCGGCCCAAGAGGTCAGCTATTTGGAGTGTTTTAAGCATATACCCCTTCCATGCCCCAGACTGACTTCTGGCCACTGGAAAGTATTCACAATCACACACTGAAAGCATTTCTTCTGTTCAGGATTGATGACCAGTGAGGAAACCACTATTGTGGGCAAGTTGTCTTTCTGTGGGAGAGAGCACTTGATTTGTTTCGTTTTTTAAAACAGGCTCTCCCTGTATATCACAAGCTAGCCTAAAAGTCCCTGGGTATCTGTCCCAGTTAGTTTTTTTCTCAACTTGACACAAGTTTGGGTTATCTGGGAAGAAGGAACCTCAGGTGAAAGAATGCTTTCATCATATTGACCTATAGGCAAGTGTGTGGGGCATTTTCTTGATTAATGATTGATGTAGAGGCCAGGCATGCTGGTGCATGCCTTTAATCCCAACTCAGGAAACAGAAGCAGGTGGATCTCTGTGAGTTCAATACCAGCCTAGTCTACAGAGCTAGTTCCAGGACAACCAAGGCTATCCAAAGAAACCCTGTCTCAAAAAACAAAACTGCTACTAATAATAATAGATGTAGAAGGGCCCAGCTCGCTGTAAATGGTGCCATCCCTGGGCAGATGGTCCTAGGTTGTATTTAAAAAGCAGGCTGGAGAAACCAAAAAACAGCATTCCTCCATTGTTTCTGCTTCAATTCCTGCCTCCAGGTTCCTCCCCTTGTTTCCCTTCAGGATTGTAAGCTGTGAAAAGAAATAACCCTTCTCCTTCTGAGTTGCTTTCAGTCAGTGTTTTATCACAGCAATAGAGATGACTCAGTGGTTAAGAGCACTGACTGCTCTTCCAGAGGACCTGGGTTCAATTCCCACATGGAGGCTCACAACTGTCTGTAACTCCAGCTCCAGGAGACCTGGCACCCATGGCAAAACACCAGTGCACATAAAGTAAAAACAAATAATTTAAAAAAAGAATGCAAGCCAGGACAGAAATCTAGACTGTCATCCAACTCACAGCCCTGCTGCCTCTGCTTTCCGGGTGTTAAGATTAGAGACATTACCACTATGACTAGCTTCTGTACATAAGTTCCTATCTGCTTGTCTTGAGACAATGTTTTCAGTTTGAGCTGTCTAGAACAAGGCACAGCCTCCCCCTATTCTTTCATGTTTTCTTTCTTCTTCTGTGTCATTAAGCATTAAGATCTAACCATTGAAAAACCAATACTCAGGTACTGGGGAGATGGCTCAGTTGTTAAACTACTTGTTCCACAAACCTAAGACCTGAGTTCAAGTCCCAGCACCTATGTTAAAGGCAAGATGCCATGCCATAGTATAATCCTAGTGCTAGGGAGGCATAGACAAGAGGATTCCTGGGACTCAACTAGCCTAGCACAGTAAGACTTGGCTCCCAGTGAGAGACTCTGTGTCAATAAACAAGGTGGATGACTTACTGACCTCTGGCTTCCATGTGCACACTTGTGCAGCTATGCATCACACACACACACACACACACACACACACACACACACACACACACACACAAGCGAGCTTTTCACATTGCACTTTGTGTGGTCCTTAGGTAGCCTCGAACTGAAAGGTTCTGAGCCGCCTAGGCTCTACAGATCCCTCTGCCTTGCTCTGGGTATTCCCTATGTTTGGGGGGGGGGTGGTTGGAGTGGTGTGCAGACTGAGAGTTTATATCCAAGCTCATGACTTGCAAAATTCTAGGGCTGTTCTCTGGGGACTGTTCACTTAGAAGCTTTGTAAATTCTGATGACAGGAGAACACAGGGAGGGAGACTTCTCAGGGAAGTCCCACACCAGTTTGTCCTCCGGCACTGAGCCATTGATCAGAACACCCCTGTCTTTCTCAATCTACGAGAGGAGGTGATGGGAGCAAACCTCCAGGTTCTGCATCATCAATTAAGAAAAGGCCCAGCACAGCTTTGGGGCTATGTTGCCTCCCGGGACTGATCTGGAGTTTGTCCAAAGGTTGGTAGCCGACATGCGAGGGGGCAGCTGCCAAGTAAGACAATGCTGAAGGCACAGGACAAGAAATTGAGTTAGCTCCATTCCTGTCTTTCTGAGTCTGCCTACATGGGAGGAGCTCCAGGTGTCTGAGGTCATTAGGATCATTGCAGGTTGGGAAAGGTGATAGCAGCAGACCAGGGATGCCCTCTGGATCCGGTAGGAAGAAAAGAAAATGCCAGCATAGTACTTCTGTCTGCCTCAAGGGAAGAAACCACTATTTGGGTGCAGGTGAGTAACACACATTTAGAGCTAGTCTGAGGTATGACCTGAGGCTGTCCCAGACACGTGGCTTCCTCTGGGCCCTGCCTCCCCACTGCTGAGGAGACACCTGGGAAGTCTGCCACTTGGGAAGACACTGCCCACAAGCCCTATTTGGTGCAGCTTCCACCAAAATAGAGGAGGTGGCAGACTGCAGAGACAATAGACAGTAGGGTACGACTGAAGAGGCTGGGGTGCATAGCAGCTGCCCCACCCAAAACAAATTACTGACACAGGTATGTTTCAGTGCCTCAAACCCCGCCTACACTACAGGGGAGACAGATATAGGTCAGGGATAAAGTATACACACAGCCATCCTCTGCCACAGGGACCTGAGTGTGAGCAAGTTTTAGAGAGCTATACCCCTTCTGATCAACCATTATGCTCCACACTGCTGTGGGATGTTCTGTATGGCAAATGTGTTGCTAATTGGTCAATAAATAAATCACTGATTGGCCAGTGACCAGGCAGGAAGTATAGGCGGGACAAGAAAGAGAATAAAGCTGGGAAGTGGAAGCCTGAGTCAGAGAGACGCTGCCAGCCGCCATGATGAGAAACAGCATGTGAAGATGCCGGTAAGCCACGAGCCATGTGGCAAGGTATAGATTTATAAAAGTGGATTAATTTAAGCTGTAAGAACAGTTAGCAAGAAGCCTGCCACGGCCATACAGTTTGTAACCAGTATAAGTCTCTGTGTTTACTTGGTTGGGTCTGAGCAGTTGTGGGACTGGCGGGTGGCAGAGATTTATCCTGACCGTGGGCCAGGCAGGAAAACTCTAGCTACACCACACCCTATACTAGACAACCAAGACAGCGAGGGGATAAGCAAGTCTTCCACGGGACACAGAAATGGCTCATGGTATGAAGAGCTGCCTGGCTGTACAGGTAGCCAACCAAGGATTGTCACAGGTGAGAACATAGAAACAGAGCATGGTGACCCCAGAACTGTAGAGGCAGGGATGCCCTTGCAGCAGATAGAGTGATGGCCTCAGTAAAGGCAGCTGTATATGCAGGTATGTGAAGCTGGTGGCTGCAACTTTAGGAAAATAGAGACTAGCCTGTGGGCCTGGAAGGCACAAGCCTGTAGTACCAGGACTGAAGAGTCCAAGGAGGACTGAGAGTTGGGGGCCAACCTCGGCTACATAGTGAGGATCTGTCTCTAAATCTATAGATATGGGGGACGTCCTAACTACCACTTCCTGGGTGGCTTGGGTGAGCCCAGGAGCACAGGGTACTTTCTACAACCTGAAGCACTGGCTCCTAGAGGAAAGAGAGGAAAAGAAAAGCCACAGAACTCTGCAAGAGAGCCATGGAAGCATGAGTGGGCCCGGCAAGACAGTATGAGGGACTCCGCAGTAAAAAGAGGTGGGAGACGGTCCAGGTAGCCGTGGTTTCAAACCACGGACCTATGCATCCAGTTTCTGGGCATTCTGCCCACAGGTATGTCTAGCCTGCACACTGCCAGGTGCTGCTGAATGTGCCCACCAGCAAACCCTGTCCTGGCACCTCTGCCCACCAGAAGTGGGAGGCCAATTGGCTCCTGAAGGGGGCAGTTCTCCCAGGGCAGGCCAGTACAGAGTGAAAGCAGAGAAACCTTCACTGGCCTCCTGAAGTGGGAAGGAAGGATTTAGAGAGCCAGCTGGATATCTGTGGCGTTGAACCCATAGGAGGGTGTGATTGATGGACTCAAGAGGGGATATATCTGTGTGCCCAAGACGCTGTTTCCAGATCACCAATGCTTTCTGTGGCTTCAAAACCAAAGGGACTCCCTAAGCATGTGCTACTGAGAGGCAGGTTCTATCCCCCCCACAAGCAGAGTGCCTTCCCCAGAGCAT